GTGTTGTTTTGTTTTTACATTTTCTTCTCTCTGCAAGTCTGTTTTATCCAAGTTGCTTTTCAGGGGAGTGGCTTCTTTTCTTCTGTATCATCCATGATAGGTGTTTCTTCAGAGGTCTTTTCTCTCTTCTTGTCTGACATGGTTCTGAGTTAATTAGAAGGTCTGAGCAAGACAGAGGAGCTTGCCAACTTTGGCCCTCCCGCTATGGTGATGTGGATGGCCTCTTCATTGGAGAAACTCCCATATCACATGTATCGATTTTTCTTTCTCATGGGATGTTCAGATTGCCCAGAAAGAAGTCCTTCAGGCTCTGGCAGGAATGCAAAGGCTCCGAGGCCAGCATTCTAGAAGGTCAGTTCAGAAGACGACTCAGAATAGGAGCACTGAGAATTTAGAATTCAAAGAGTCACTCCATTTTCTTTTTGGTGCACTCTCAAATGTGCCTCAAAGCTTTCCCTCTCTCCCCAGAGATTAAACCAAAGGTTCTTGGTCCATGGGACCCTAAGTGTCTCAGTAATAGTTTATGGTGCTCCTAAGCCAAAAGATGTCCCTAACAGCTTCATTTATTTAGTTATTTTGAAAGGACATGTTAAGTATTTAGGTCTTAACAATTTAGTTACTGTTTGAAAAAACAAATTCATATAAATTGAAGGAAAAGTATTATTTTATTCTTAAATAACCACAGTTACTAACTAATGAATACATGCATCTGTTGCATACTGCAGAACTCTTGAGACCAGATGCGGCACAGCCAGCCTCATTTCACGTTCCACATTGACTTTCATGTGGCACTTGCTTTTTATCAACACATACACATCAAAATCTGAGTTTCAAAAAGATATGATGTCACAGAGAAGAATGTGGGGGGCTCTAATGTTGAAACTCTGCACCATTTTAAGCTGGCAGTTGCATCTATCAGATGTTGAGTATCATTGTGTTTGCATCAGAAATGTCAAACACGACAGCACCTCTGTCAATTTGGTGTGGTGTCCCAGGTTTGAGAACCATAGGCTTCACACAACCCACTTTTGCTCAACCTACCATCTGAACCTGGACTTGCATTAAGCGTTGAACTATGGACAATCTACTGGGATCTCAAACCTCCTTACCATCGCTCTCCTACAACTCAGCACTATAGTACACTTAACAAGTATAATCAACTTCACATTCTGAATCACAGAATCAGAACATGGACTCTATGATCTAAGATCTAAGATGATGGGTGGCACTGGTTAGCAGAGATTCATATTGAAAGTATTCAAGGCACCGTACTTTTATGTGTATAATTTCCCAGCCAGCAAGACACAGTATTTTTAATTTTGCATGCCATTAGACAATGCTATAGAAGTAACTCAATACAGTTTGTGGCTGCTTCCAGACAGCTGAGTAAGGGCCTGAGTATTAAGAGCTGTCAAATGAGTGTTCTGTGCCCTCCACACCACCCCCGCCCCAGACTAGCCTTTGAGGGATTCAATCAGTATAAAGTCAGAATGTCAAAGAAAGAGGCCAGAGCAGGTAATATGACAAACGGATGTTGGTCTTAAGTAAGCTGACTAGCTATTAATTCACAAAACAGTCTGAAAAGATTTGTGATGCAAGCTGACTTCTGTCTAGACAGAGAAGGGAGTGTAAAACACATTAGACAGATACAACACAGTAGTGACAAGAAAAACCTGTTTCAGTCTCTCAATGCATTAGGAGAGAATCTGCTAGTTCCTTCCTTATCTCAATATCTAATCCCTAATGGGGCTATAGCTAGGTACTAGTGAATTTCAATTTTATCTCTAGAGCTTTAACACATCTTACACATGATTTAAAAAAGGAAGAAGAGTAAAGAGATAAAAAGAATGAAGGAGGGAAAAGGGGAGGTGAAAAGAGAGATTAAGAGAGAGAGGAAGCGGGGGAGGAGAGAAGCGAGGGAGCACCAGACAGTGAGGAGAGAAGAGGGAATGTGTCAGAGGCCTGCACGAGAGTAGGAAGACAGGGTAATAAAATCCGAATGCTTAAATATGTTCCTGAATTTCAAAGGCTATTTATGTTTTAGCATTTGGAAAACATCACTTGCCCTAGTCCTATAAAATTTATCTCTTTCCTCAGATGTATTATAGTCATGTCTGTTTTTCTTCTTTCCGCTTAACAGTGGCTAAAAAACAGCTATCTGGGAAGCCAGTTCTTACATCCATTTTATATGGTTGAATAAGTTCAACGGCCTAATGGATAAAAAAGTCAATCAGGTCATTTAAGGAAAGTACACAGTTCAATATATATTTTGTTTTTTCCCCCAACCATGTCAACAGTCAACTTCAAGGTCAATGTAAGGAAAACATCTGGCTACTAATAAAAGAATCATAATCATACCTAGTACAATAATAATAATCAAGCATGCCAAAACATTGTTTAAATACAAATGTTTTAACATTTGCTTGTTCTGAAGTTCTCACTCATAACAGCTCACATGAACAGTCACTGGAATAGCCATTCATGTGTTTAAAGTTTTGTTGTTTTAAAAAAAATACAATCAAGAATTTTATTTAACTCTACACACCAATTGTAGATTTCTGGAAGGAGAGAATTTTGATGCTCTATTTAAAAAGACCAGGGAACAATTCCAGTACTATAGTAAATATAATTATGGAGAAATTATCAAAGATCAGAGAAAACTAGTTATGTTTTTTTTAAGATTTTTTTTTTTAATTTATTTATTTGACAGAGAGAGACACAGCGAGAGAGGGAACACAAGCAGGGGGAGTGGGAGAGGGAGAAGCAGGCTTCCCACCGAGTAGGGAGCCCAATGCGGGGCTCGATCCCAGGACCCTGGGATCATGACCTGAGCCGAAGGCAGATGCTTAACGACTGAGCCACCCAGGCGCCCCTATGTTTTGTTTTTAATAGCTCCTGCCCATCTACAAGGTTTTTTTTCCCCTGTATTGACAGATTTGGTTGACATAGTTCTGTACCAAGAAATATTTTTCAGCAAATTCTATTATAGTTGGAATGGAGGAGTCTGTTTTATTAAATGCTTTCAGATCGAACTGAAGGAGAAAAAAATAAAATTCAGTGAATACGGGGAGGAGAAACTTTTCTATTGCTAGGATATGCAGCTTAAAAGGAAGGCCTCCCACATCTTGTTCTTTTCTTCATGACTTTGCCTGTTAAAAATCGTTCTAGGGAGGTCATTTTATTCCAGGAAGCTGCCTAGAACTAATTTTATTAAGTAATCCTGATCAAAACTATATTCTAGAAGCAAAAGAGCAAATCATAATTGAAAGAGTGTGTGGTATGAGGGGTGAAGAGGGATGGAAGAGGGGGTGGCAGATGTTTCTACTCTCCCTCCCCACCCAAATTTACCCCTTCTGAGCCAATAGACTGAGCATTTTCAATTTTCAAACACGTACATACTCAGAAACTAAACTACGCAGCTTCTAACCAGTGTTGTGAATTTTCGGATGATGGTTAGTTTAGGATTTTCCAACAGAGATCATCAGAGATATTTCATAAATCATCATCACCTCTGTAGGGGATGACGATGGTAACAACACAATGAAAAAGAGTTGCATAAATTTGCACAGAATCCAAAACACAACATCAAAAGCAGTCCTGATCTATTCCAGTAGCAATGCTTTTAGAATTTGTGGCCCAAAATGTTAGTTTTATTTGTACATAAAGTATCAAAAGGCATAAACCGCCTATAGATTTTTCACACAAACTTTTCTGTAGAAAAAGAGGTATCTGGCTCCTACTTTTGTATCTATCGATAAGTCTATTTAGAACAGTAAACCCAAAAGATGTGCCCTAACATCTTAGCTCATGCAGTAGACTGAGTTTCAGAAGTTCCATGTATCAGGGAACCAGCATGATGCCATTTTATATAAAGACCTATCAGACAAAATATGCCGTTGTGCATTTCCACATTTTGGAAAGTAACTACAGTATTCAATGTGGTGACTGACACATTAGGTGGGACAACATATTCTAGTTGTAATCATGAAAAGAAGGCAGCAGATCAATCCCCATTGTTCTCTGAGGATGCTACTCAGCATTTTTTAACCTTGGGATCCTAAAAGGATCACACCCTACTTTTAATGGCCCAGAGCTCAGCTGTGAAAGGTTCAGGACGAACCAGAGTAATCTGACCTGCAGTAGCCCACAGAGAACCTTCACGTTCCCCAAGAATGGACAGAGCAAAGCCTTGGCTCCTAAGAGCCTGCTCGACCCTGAGGCAGAAGCACAAATCAGTTTTTCTACCATTAGCCAAGGAGTCAGCAAAACTGGTAATTTTGCTGATGGGAGAAATGCAAAAGAAAGTAGTCTCGAGGAGGATATCCTATGAAATGCACAGACAAAAATTTTCATTTCTTTTGCAAACATTGTTGTAGTTCATGGGGAGTCATAAATACACAAGGAGTCTGGAGCAGGGGAACAGTCGGACCTGGCGCTTCTGGATAACATAGCACTCTGATGAGGTCAAATGACCTGGTAATTAAGAGAGATCCTAGGGCAAGATGACTTTCTTCATGCTTGTAGAACAGTAAAAGTTTACGGCTCAAGGGACATAAATGAGAAATGCCGGTGGTCAGCAGCTTTGCTTACATCTTTGGGCTGCTCTCATGTGAGACAGTTCTAAGCTGGAGGGTCAAGCCATTAGTAGGTTTTGGTCCATAGAAGTATGTAGCAGATGGTTCTTTTCTACTGGAATTTTAGGTGGACGTTTTTTCATCATGAGCTTAGTTTGCTTTCTGAATATAAAAGGCTATATTTAAAAAAGCCGTAAGTCACTGAGCTTGACCTTCTTGTCTGAATAGAACTTAATGTTTTACTAATAAAGAAGCTGATGTAAAAATGCAGTGTACAGACCCCATGATAAAGAAGATATTGTCTTTAAGGGGGTTTCGTATTTCCAGGGAACTGCGAAAACATTGTTCTGCTTATGGCTTTAAAACTGAAACAAAGAACTATTGAAACCCAAAAGATACATTACCAAAGAAAAAAGAACTTCTTACCAGGTTCAGCTGTAGATCTAGGTTCTGTTTGTCACATGAGAAAAAAAAAAAATAAAACGGAGTATTAGAATGGGGTTCCGTTAATAAGAAACCTACCTATCTTTTCACTATTACTTTGTCCAGGACATGTCTGTAGGATATAGGGAACTCCATAATAGAAAAGATAAAGTGATAATAGATCTATTTATATTTCTATAAATACAGAAACCCAAATTCCAGTAACAGCTTACGCTAGGAAGTTTTTTAAACCACAGTTCACAGAAGGGCTTATAGGAGGCTTGTAAACCTCCTAAAATTATTTGGCCAACTTTGAGTTCAAATGTATGTAACATTTTTTCTGGAGAACATACAACTTTTATTAGACTTTCAAAGGGGTACAGAAGTGACCACCACGACTTTAATTTACTGGACCCCGCATATCTGCAGATTATCTGGCCTCACTACTCTTTGAAAATAGAAATCAATTCATCTTGAATGACTAAACCCTTCTTGGTTTTCCTGAAGCTTGAGAGAAGAAAATGGACGGATGTGGGACAATGGGCACCTCTCCTTACTTTTCTGGAGAATTCTGAAATCTGGAGAGTCTTGAATTTCACTCCCTTGTCGGAACCACTTGACCTGCAAAGGGGGTGCTCCTCGGACCCGGCACTCCAGAACCACCACCTGACCCTCGGATGCTGCTATGTTTTGCAGTTCCTAAAAATTCAAGGAAGACACTCCCCATTAGACTTTGGTGCACTCTTACACAATTTCAGAACAGAAAATAAAGCTTCCAAATCTTAGAGGGGAAAAATATGTAAAACTTGCATTATAAAATAATTACCACTAACTCAGGTAAAAATAGGCACCTTGAAATTCATCAATTGTTAGCTTTCCATAATCTCCGTGTAATGAGATTAGTAAGGTCTATCACTGGGGCTGTGGTCATTTTGGGTCTGTCTGCAAATTTACTGACACTTTCATATTTATGGAATTTTATGGCAATGCCTGTTACCTTTCTCTATCTACACTGAAGAGTTAGCTGGTGGAATGCAGACTTCCTAAAACAATTATGTTCCATATGAATGTAGATTCCTGGGAAAACCAGACAGGAAGAGAAAAAAGGCGTAATTTGTTTTTACATGCCCCAACCTTTTCATGTACTCCCCCCCCACCACCACCATCTCTGCCAATGAGCTTCCTATGTCAGGTTTATTAAGATAAGGGGTTGGGGATTTTCTCATTTTGGAGTTCTGAGTAAAATAATAACACCTGCAGTACTTCTCCGTTCGTGACCCTTATTTCCTCTTCCCTTGCAATTACAATTACCCTTGTTGCCCCTAACCCCACTCCAAGTCCAGACCAGTAAAGTTTTACAGTGCAATAGATTAGAAATTAATTTGGCTGCACAGATGCAAAGAGGTAAAGCTTTTATACTTGTTATTAAATATCAAAAGATTAATAGTCCCCTCACAGATGTCCTCCCCCTGCCTTCCTCCTCCAGGATTACTTAGCAGTAGGGCCTACTTCAACTTTTTGACTCTTGCAACTGCTGACTCGAGAGTATGAGATCTTACATAGGTGATGTAGAACTCTTAAAATAATTCAGATATGACAGTAATTCACCTACACGTCAACCAAAGGCAAACAAATCCCCATTAAGAAGTGTGTGGTCTTTTCTGGTTTTGTTTGTTTATTTAAGATTATCTGAAGGGACAACAAATGGTGTGCTGGGAAAAAACAAATGTTGCAGCAAATGGGCTGCAGTGAGTGTGGTAGAGCCCTAAGGAAATTCTCAGAGTTGACGCTGTTGGCAGAAGAACTATAAAAGGCTAATGTTAAGTCTGAGAAGGCATTTGATAATAATCTGGGTGGTTAACAAGAATTTTTTTTTTTTTAAGTGAAAAGGTTAAGATTATTAACTACTTCTGATTGCATTCTGTCTCCTTATTTTTAAATGTAGGAAATCTCTGGTTTTAAATTGATTTTTTACTTTGTGACTGGGTCCAGAGAAGAGCTAATTTACGGGATCACAGCAGGAAAAGTGTCGCTAACAGGGCCCAGGTTGTGTGGATTAATTATTAAACACTTCCTGGCTTGTCCAGGAAGTTGCTCATGGTAGATTTCAAATGGTACACAAATATTTTTCATGACTGAGCTTTCGGGCTCCAGAGGAGACTGATTTATTCCTAGGATTGTGTGTTTTGTGCAAACGTTGGAAAGTCAGAGATAGAGAAAACGGGTAGACGCCAAGGACCCGAAGCAGTCCAAACTCCACAGTTATTCCAGGATTACAATACCACTCAACCAGGAGCAAACCTTTTCATCTTGAGAAAAGCCACAGCTAAGCATAGTGCGCCATTAGGAGAATCTTCAGCGACACAAGGAGGAGCCCTGAAGGAGACTAACTAAGAGCCAGCCTTCAGAGGTTGCACAGGGCAATCTACATCATCCACTCAGGGTAGAACTGGGGACCCCTGAGTGTTTTAGGGTCCATATAAGGGTATCTCCTGTCATAGATCAAGCCCACCTGATACTGTGATTCCTTGAAGGGGCCAAACTATTTAGAAAGAAATGCAACATAAGGCTAGTTGCTCTCTTGTCTCCCATGAGTCTCTACTGTCCCCAGTCCAACAGTCCCAAACCAGCTCTGCTGTCCCAGCTAAGCCCGGTGGCCTGCAGGCAGGAGCATGGCCTCTGCCTCTGAGCAGCTGTGACACCTGGAAATCCTTATCACAGCAGTATGAGGAAACAGATGGGGTACCTGTTAGACCGGCAAAGCCCACCTGACAATTCACTGTCACCATCACGCCCAAGAGAAAGACCAAAAAAAGATACTAAGGGTGACAAAGGGGAGGCTACTTCGAGTTACAAAGGAGATGAGCAGATTTATTTTCTAAACCTGCCCCTCCAAAACCAAAGCCCGGGCCCAAAAGGAGCCAGCATAGCAGGGAGAGAAGATGCCCAAAGGGACAAAGGGGAAAGCAAATGCCAGGAAGGAAAGAAGCAATTCTGCAGAGAACAGAGACGGTCTACAGTCTAGACACAGAAGGCAGAAGGCACTGGAGATGCCCAATGAGGTATGCTCCACGCTGCCACTCACTCTACAGTTCGTGATCTTTTTTTTAAATCAACCTTTATAGAAATACAGAATTATGTTTCACTTTTCTTTTTACTAAGCTGTGTGATTAGCACAGAGTATGTTTCCGGGTTTTCTTCTGGGGGAGCGGATACACCACTAATATAGTGTCAATGCCTCAGGAGCTGGAATGCAATGGAGGAACAAGGTTTTTTGTCTAGTTTTTGGGCCTTCTCTTGGTGCCCAGGAGGAGTTCCGTACCATCACCATATGCCAGGTCACAGTGGGGCAACCCTGTGGGGAGGGAAAGCAAAATCTCACATCCTCTCTATTTGCTTAAATCAAGAGGTACACTGGGACCCCAAAATCAACATCAGGGAACACAGACTTCCTGGTGATGATCTGGTGAAGCTGCTTTTGAAAAGCTCTAAAGCCGCTGAACTACCCACACCATGGGAACATCTGCTATTCTCAGCATGAAAGGACAACTTCATGGATGACTACAGTGGCATTGCTTTCAGTGGTCAGGTTTCTTTGTTTTGTTTTGTTTTTTTTGGTACTTTCAAAGTTGCTGTCAAATACAATCATTTGTTGCCCGTGTCTTACACTAAATACCCTGCTTACGAAAAGACCTTTAATAAAGCTGGATCCAGGCTGGCTTGGAAGGAAAAAAATCATTCCCTACAAGAAGACAAGCAAGATGCTCTTCCCTACTGCCTTGCACAAGTTTTATGGATTTGCTTTTTCACATCTGTCTTTCGTTTACTTGGCCTAGATTTTTGTAAAAAGTGTGAGGTAGGAGTCCAATTTAATATTTTTTTTATCTCTACTGAAGAATTCATTCTTTACCCAGCAATCTGTAGGTTTCTGTATATATTGGAGTGTGTGTGGACTCTGATCACCTGCCAATTTGTCTGGTCTTCTTCAGCACCATACTATCCTAACTACTCTACCTTTACAAAGTCTTGACATCTCCGAGGACAAATCCCGTGCCTTCCTTACCAGCATCCAATTTTCCGTCTTCAGGAGTACCCTGGCTATTTTTAGACCTTGTTTTCTTAGAATCAAATTGCCAAGTTCTACAGCAAACAAATAAAACAAGGAACCCGTTGGAATTTCAGCTAGATCTGTATTAAATTTATAGGTTAATCTGGGAGTCATGACTTTATCATTTTTCAGTCCACAGACATGGAATCTCTCTCCACTTATTCGGGTCTTTTAGATGTCTTTCAATCAAGGTTTGTAATTTTCTCAAAAAAAAAAAAAAACAAACCCCACATAGAGCCATTTCTGAGTTGAGCAGTTGACTACTGAAATGGATGTCATTCAGTCTGGCAATGCAAAACACAAACTTGGAGAACAAACTGAATGTTAGTCCTTTTTTTTTTTTTTTCTCTAAAACATGCTGGTTCTCCCAAGCAATTTTCTACACAGCTCTTTGTCTCATTTTTTTCTACCCGTCTTGGTTTTCCCCCACTCTATTGTAAGCTCTATCAGGTCACTGACCACACCCACATCATTCAGACCCTTGACAAGATGATACTCACACAACAATTGTTCCGTAAATACCTATTTAGCCCCAAAGGTAACCATGAGAGCCTGTGGATCTGTTCATTTTAATTTTTAAAGACTGCTACATGAAGCCCCATGTGAAGGGAACTTAAGGACCAAAGCAAGCACAGAGAACGAGACTTGCAGATACCAGACCTTTGTAAAAATAGGAGGAAAGTAGGCAGGAGCAGCTCCATCGGGTCGGCAGAGATACGAGTTTGGACTGTGGACCTGAAAACGCAGAGATCGCATGGATCAAATTCTGAATATAGAAACTGTTGAAAAGACGGGCTAAAGAAAACTTTCATTATTGGAGTCACTCCACATGAATGGAACGAGGGAACACAAATAGCGCCATGTGTCATTTTGCTGGTCTAGGCTCACACACAGTACAGACATTGTTCCACATCCTCCTTTCACAGCTGTTACGCTTCTCTATTCAAAAGGATATTCAAGGTAAAAGTTCCCTGGTTCCTTGGGGATCCATGAGCTTATAAATGCTATTACCAAATGGATTTCTGTGTGTGGGACTTCCACAGGAGTCTTTTCAAACGTTCTCACAGACATTACATTTTATTTTTAAATACGGTCTGGATTCATGGAATTAAAAGCACAAGTGGCTGGCAGTGGAGGGTAAATTATCAACCATCTACCTTATGTTTAACCTGCACTCTTTTTTGTATAAGGGATCACAGGAAACAAGTTAAAAAGGAATATATTGTTTTTTTCTTGATGTGCAAAAAACAAAGGTGCTAAAATACTTACAGAATGGCACTCGTCTCTGAGGAAATATAAAGATTCCAGAGTAGTGAATGGAAAATATGTCTCTTTCTCCAATCATTTATTTTCAAACACTTTGGGTTTATTCCCTTCTATGTAAGTAATTGTTAGCTTCTTAACCCCAGACAATGGTGATCTGATATCACGTGTCTAAGTACGTCACAACTTATCATCGAGAATGTTGGCAGAGGCATAGAGATGCTAGGATAGTAAAGGGCCTTATTCATTATCTTTGTAAGACTTCTCATTGGCTTGTGCTTCAGACTGGGTCTCACTTTTTGTTGTCTTTATATGTCCAAAGACTATTTGAACACTTCTATAGCATTTAGAAGTGTGCCAGGCACTGTTCTAAGTGTTATAGGGAGATTCACTCCCTCACTGAATCCTCAGGATAGTCCTGTGAGATAGAGGGTATTATCTTCATTTTACAGATGAAGAGACCAGGCATAGAGAGGTTACATCAAATGGTAGAGCTAGGATTTGCACCCAGGCAATTGGGCTCCCGGGTGTTCAACTGTATGTGACGTTGCTTACAATAATTAAGCAATGGAGTTTCTGTGAGCCCCTCATCCTCCTATACTCCTGGAATATACGACCTTCCATTTAGTGTTCCTGGAGAATTTAAACCATTTAAAATGTACCATTTACATTATTATGGTGCTTACATATTTAAATATTTTCTGCTCTTAGGCTTTTGTGTTACACTTTAACGTAGTCTGCCACATTCAAGAAATGTTTCATGTGTATATTTCCTGTTTCCCATGCATAGTTCTATAAAGTGTTTGGGAATGAAGCTGGTGATGTATTTTTTTCCAATGAAATTCCTAGCATGGTGCCAATAAGCATTCATCAATACTTAAACATTAAACAAAAAAAATCCACTGATTTAATCAGAAATATTTTTAGAAGTTCCACTCTGGTTTAGGGTTTACAGGAAATATCTAGGCCATCTTTGAATGAATCATACTGGTTGGTTCAAGTTTATAAACTCAAATGTCCTTACTGTTTCCATATTCCACATATCCAAGAGTATATGTCACATACCACAATTACTAAAACACCTGAGTGCTCAACAGATGGAGGACCTGGTGATGCTCACAAAACAGACTTACTAGTTAGGAATTCATTTACATTTCAAGGGCAAGGGTGGGGAAGTCTTTTGTGAGTGTCTTATTTAAATATACACATCATAGCACAAAGGCAAAGCAACATACATCTGATGAAAACATTTAGATTCGAATTTATTTTACTGTTCAAAAAAATTTCCTGTTATGTTTGCAAAGTAAACTCAATATTATTTTCCAGTAGTGTGTATTGTTGTTCTTTCTTGGATATAGCAGTCTTATAATGAAAAAAAGGCAGGATAAAAATGCTTGGTTAAGTCAAGAAATTGGAATTTTTTTTAATTATCTGTTTATCTCAGAAGAACTTTTGTTGGTATGTGGACTTCTCTTGCTTCTAATTTGTTTCAAATGAGCTAATAAATTTGGCTAAACAGAAGAGAACATACCGGTGGAAGAAAACTCAAATAGTCATAGCTAAAAGAGATACCACTTTATCAGGTTATGGGCCGTTAGAGACATTCCTAATGGAAATGCAGACGTTGACTAATTGGTGATGTGTTTTTGATTAAAGATGATTTTTAGTGGGTTGAAAGGGAGGACTTTACCTACCATTTTCTTTCCTCCTAGTTGTGTTTCCACTTAAAAAATACTGCAGGGAGTGTACTAGTTGGAATCAAAGCTGTAATCTTTAAACCAAGAAGTTTGCTAATGAGTTTGACTCACTATGGTCTCTGGTCCAAGGCACACTTACCTGTTGAACAGGGACAGACAATGGTTGAATCACAGCTGTGGTCACTCCCGTCTTTGGAGACGAGGATCCTATTGTCAAGGAGACAGAAGTCGTTTTCTTTTGAGCTCTGGAAAATAAGGAGGCAAGTGTATTCCATCAATTTTTTTTAAAGCAGGAATTACTCTTTGAAAGATTTCCCCCCAAGAGCTCAGTTTCTTTTTGTGCACTCAATCCACTTCAATTCTAAGTGCTTCAGAGATGGGAAGCCATAATCTACAGTTAGAATAGCTGTGGTAAACATATGCACAGAATAGACCTTATAGATATTAGCAAAATAAACACACGGGTAAAAGAAAAATAAGTATATATAATTCAGTTATTATCAGAGAACCTAAAGTATTGAACCCGGAAATCCTAAGAGAAAAGAAAATACCTGGAAAAGGCCCAATCTCTAGCAATACGCAGATACTTGAAATCTTTAGGGTTAGGGTTCTGTATTTAATTCAAAGTTTTAGTGGTCTATTTTAAGTCTAGCAGCTGTTCTTTGTTCTGGTTTCTAATTTTGTTGGGAATGTCTTGGCATTTTTGTCTTTTCTTACTGCATAAAAGTTAGTGAGGTATAGAAAAAGGTTAAGAAGTGTTGGTTTCTAGGCCCAATTTTGTTAAGAGGCTGGCTGTGCAATCTCAAGCGAGTCAAGTAACTTCACGAAACTTAAGATCCTTATCTGAAATCAGGAGTGGCAGAGTATATGATCTCATAAGGTTCCTTTAGCATTAATACTCAGGGATTATTTGATGCTGAATAGATATAATTGTTATGTTTCTGTAGCAGATCAAAGGAATTTATTAGCACAGTCTCAATACTCATGGAGTTTTCTACAAAATTCTGGTAGGTTTGATTTTATTTTTGCAAAAATTTACTTATCATCAATTTACATAATAATTATTTTGGAAAATAATCCATTTGTCTTTGTAAGAAGAACGAAATTTTACAACTTTCATGATAAGATCTAACTAGTAGTAGTCTTTATCCAAGTATTTCTGGGCTAATTGCACACTTTCCAATTTGTATAAATAGATTGGTCCTCATTTACATTTTGGTAATGATTTAAATAATTTCCTCTCAATACTGCTGTTGTTTTTGTATATTTATAACCAGTTAGTTGTCCTTGAAACTTAAGATTGTCTATGGTTTGATTTTGGCATCTTGATGATGAAGTGCAGACTTCAAAGTCTAAATTCGTAAGTTAGAAATTGTGTTCCACATTCAAATATCGGATCTTTGACTGACATCAGCTGACCTCTTCCTTCGCAGCACAAGGCGCACTGCTTCTTACCCCAGTGATTCTGTCCACATTCTTTGTTGTACAGATAATTGATGGGATTGTAGGCACTTACTGTGGCATGGCTCCAGGGTTTGATTTGAAAGCTAAATTTTCACTCTCAGAATCTGTCGAACTGGCACCTGAGAAAGTGAAAAATAATGATAAATTTAAGATTTGAGTAGTATCTATAACTGCTTCAAGGAGTAATATTTCTCATTTTTAAATAATCACATACGAAGTCTTATGTCGAAATAGGAATGGTTCAGACCATTTTTACTTGAATTGTTATTTTCATAAAACTACTTAAAGCAAAGATCTTCTATAAAAAGCTTTCTTCAAAGCAATATGTTTTTAATGCCAGATTTACTATTAGTTTCATTTTTATCACTTTGGTCATCACAACCATATTTTTAAATGGCTTATAAACTATGAAATAAATGTGTGTGCGTGTCTGTGTGCAAAGCATTCATGATTTTAAACTTTAACCCTTTCCCAGGAGATTACATTGTGTGGATTATTAATGACTTCATTGCTCATTAATTAGGAGATGCTTTCTGACTCTGTGATAAATTAGAACAAAAGAGTGGCTTCATTCTTGAATAAGAAGATCTCTGATTTTGGATCATGCTTTCCCAATTTCATTTGAGTCATTACGGTTTTTGAATTAAGGGTAACCTTATCAGGTTTTTAGTCAAAATGCAAACTGTGATAGATTTAAAATAATTGTGATGATTAGAAGTATACTCTTGACATTTCTTTTATGAGACGTATTTAAAGTGAGTTAAATTATTTAAAGATACTTTAATATAAAATAATACATGCTTTTAGAAAAGTAACCAAACAGCATAGAATTGTGTGACATAATACTAAAGACCAGCGGGTACCTTCCTTAATGCCATTCTGCACGTGTTAATAGTCTGATATCTATTTGTCAGATAAATTTAATGTATTTACATACATGTATTTATGTACATAATCTCTACAAGTAGAATCACACTATATGTACTCTTTGCAATTATTGTTGCTTACAAATACATTTAGAATATATGCATTTCCTCAATTTCTTGGATGGCTGCCCAGTGTTCCGTTCCATGACTCTATTTCTCCTGTCCTTTATTAATGTTTTAAGAGTAAGGTTTAGGTAACTCTGCTGGAATGTCTCCTGTCCCTTCCTATTTACTTCTCTAACTACCGCTTACTATAGGCTTTCTTCAGTTAGTTCCCAGACTACCACAATAGATTCTTATCTTGTCTTCCTCTGTCTCTCTGTCAATCTTCAACCAATGTCATTTTTTACTATAGCTCACCTTTCCTGTTTAAAAAAAAAAAAAACTAACTAAGATAAGGAATTTCAACTCAGTAAATTTAAAAACTTAAACCCCTGCTATTTAGTGGCTTTCATGATTTCCAACCAGATTTTCTAGCTCTATCAGCCAGAACTTCCACGTCCTATAACCCCAAGCCAGAGAGTTGAACATACTCACTGGTGTACATTCCACTAGGTAATGGGAATGCAGCAGTGAAGAAATATACACATACACCCCACACACCCCTGCCCCCGTGGGGTTTACATTCTTTTGAAGACACAGACCACAGACTAAATAAATACATGACACGGCGGTGAGTGAAATGGGAAAGCAAATCAGAGTAGGGGTATAGGGAAGGATGGGCATGGTGTGGGATGCAATGTGAAGTGGGGTGGCAAGGAAGGCTCCATCAAGTTAGGGACTTTGAGTAAAGACCCAAAGGAGGTGGGGGCTTTCCTTTCTTGGTCTTTTCCCATGTTTGTACATTTAGTTATATTATTCACTCTCGTAGGAAACTCTTAGCTAGTCTTCTAGATAGGATCAGCCTATTAGTGTTTTCTGTGCTCTGTCTTCTCTGAACTCCCCATGTTCTTGCTGATACTACTCAGGTCATTTATAACACCATATCTGCTAGAAAACTATAAGTTTTTTTTGAAAAATTGAGGTGGGGTTAGGAAGGGAACTACCAATTTTTGAGTACTTACTATTTTGCCTGGGAATCTGCTAGGCACTGTATAACATTTAATTATTATAATAACTCACCTCACTAAGAGGTGAATTATGTCCAATTACACATTAGAAAATTGAGGAACCAAGAGATTAAGTAATTTGCATAAGGTTACATAACTAGAAAGCCGTGGGGAGAGGATTTTTGAACTTGTGGTCTGTGACATCCCCCATGTGGTATGACCTTCGTGTGCTGTGGATGTCTATGCCTCAGAGGCCTCAGCTTCATGCCTTGCTAATGGCAGGCCTTCAACTGGTGGCAGGATGAATGAATGGAACCTTGGGAACTGCAAATGCTTGGTTGGGGACAGAAAGTGCACTGAGCAACCACAGAAGAGCAGCATGCTAGGGGGCACAGTGGGAGGCAAGTCGAGAAATGTAAAGTGGGATGCTGAATACAAGGGCCAAAGTGCTTGGACTTTCTGTCTAGGCATCCAGAGTGGTGAGTGGGAAAATTAACCATGCAGGATGAACTGGGGGAGTAGCAAAACAAAAGAGCAGAACCAGCAAACCATCAAAAATAGGTGATAGAGATAGAGAAATTTTTAACCGTGATGAGGAGGTATGGGACGTGAGCAGGGGAAATAGGAGGAAGAATCAGTAGACTCAGTTACCAGAAAATCAGGGGTAACCTGAGACAGATCAGTTCTACTGGAATCACAGGAGCATTAAAGAGAAAGGGAGGGGGAGCAAAAGTCCTACCGAAGTTATCACAGATACTCTCAAAGTGGCCAGAAACTGGGGAGACAAATAGCTGTCTTTCATCTGATGCCAAACATTTTATTTGTATTTATTTTTTTAAAGATTTTTATTTATTTATTTGACAGAGAGAGAGAGACAGCGAGAGAAGGAACACAAGCTAGGGGGAGTGGGAGAGGGAGAAGCAGGCTTCCTGCTGAGCAGGGAGCCTGATGCAGGCTCGATCCCAGGACCCCGGGATCATGACCTGAGCCGAAGGCAGATGCTTAACGACTGAGCCACCCAGGCACCCCTGATGCCAAACATTTTAAATCTTTTTTTTTTAAGATTTTATTTATTTATTCATGAGACAGGGCGGGGGGAGGCGGGCAGAGGGAGAAGGAGGCTCCCAAGGAGCAGGCAGCCCAATGCAGGACTCGATCCCAGGACCCTGGGATCATGACCCGAACCAAAGGCAGACACTCAACCATCTGAGCCACCCAGGTGCCCTAAACATTTTAAATCTTAAAAATAAAATCCCCTCCGATTATCTAGTTAGAAAGCCTTTCCTTTCTTTGAAAATTCTTTTTTCCCAATTTTTTTTCAGCTGGTTTTCAGAGAAAGGTAAAGGGCCAAAAAGATTTGTAACCCCTGGATAAGAATACATTGGCTAGTTTTTGCACACCTGTCCAACACTTATGAAATCTCAAGGTCACCTTCTGTCTCAGGTATACCTTCAAGCTCCTGCAGACGGTGGCAGATCAAATCTCCCTATCTGTGCCAGCAAGTTCCCTCCCCCCTCAAGATAACTCTCCCCTCCCTCTCTCCTTCTGCCTCCTCCCTTTGGTCACCTGCTCTGCACCTGCTGGTCACGAAAGGACATTCCTGTCTCTAGTTACCATTTTTGTATTATCAAAACATCACTTTCAGTTTTTGATGGAGGCTCCAGTCTGGAGGGACATGATCCAGAACCTGCAATTACTATCCATCTATCTGTTCGTCTAATGCTATTTCTATATCACTCCCCACACACAGTGAAGGAATCAAATGCCCATGATCTCTGCTCTTTTCTGGAAATTCAGTGCCAGTGGAAATGTCACAAAAATGCACCTGCTGTCTTGCCTTTAAAAGGTGTGCCCTTTTCATTTAAGATACGTACCCCATTTAATACTTCCTCGTAGGAAAAGACCCAGAAAATGTTCAATAGCAAAAATTAAAGAAAAAAAATCATTTGGAATACCAGCATTTAGATACTTTGGAGCATATCCTTCTAAAGTTTATCCCTGTGTACATATATAAATAATATATTTTAAGAAGATGATGCTATGTCTATTGTTAAATTATTGCCTTTTCCCCCTACTCACTCAATACATTGTGAAGTGCCTTTCCATGACATCAGACATGTACTTAATAATTTTCTAATGGCTGCTTCAAATACATGTGTGCAGCTTTACCATAATTTCACCATTCCACTAGGAATGGATATAATATTTCCATCTCTAAATTCCCCAGGGGCGCCTGGGTGGCTCAGTCATTAAGCATCTGCCTTTGGCTCAGGTCATGATCCCGGGGTCCTGGGATCGAGCCCCGCATGAGGCTCCCTGCTCCGCGGGAAGCCTGCTTCTCCCTCTCCCACTCCCCCTGCTTGTGGTCCCTCTCTCTCGCTGTGTCTCTCTCTCTGCCAAATAAATAAAACCTTAAAAAAAAATACTTCCCCAGGAAAGGGTATAAGATAGCCATACATCAAAATGCCCGTTTCCCTCGCACTCATAAAAACACTATGCTTTAATTATTTTTGTCAATCTGGTCTCTTCCTTAATAAAAGGGAAAAAAAGGCATATTTCTGAGTGTAAGCAAGCTGGAAGTAAGTCATACAGCTTCAACTTTGAGAGATAGGAAGTCTTCATGAGAGCAAATATCAACCTTTCAAAAATATATGTATATATTAAATATATATTGGAGGGCGCCTGGGTGGCTCAGTTGTTTGAGCGACTGCCTTCGGCTCAGGTCATGATCCTGGAGTCCCCGGATCGAGTCCCGCATCGGGCTCCCTGCTCGGCAGGGGGTCTGCTTCTTTCTCTGACCCTCTTCCCTCTCGTGTGCTCTACCATTCTCTCTCTCTCTCAATAAATAAATAAAAATCTTTAAAATAAATAAATAAATATATATATATATATATATTGGAGACCTTGAGGGACTTTAGTGAAACTGGTCACGGCGTTCATCCTTTGCGCATCCTTTGCTTTTCAAAATTCGAGTTGCTCAACCTCTCCCTCCCTTCTCTCTTTCTCAGTCGCTATAATCACCAGTGCAGCAGTAACCATTTAAGACTCCAATAAGATTAATGAAGCAATGCCAATGATTTAAAATTTTATAAATGATGAATGACTATAAAGACATTAAAATGAGTTTTAAAGAATGTTTAACAT